TGGTTTTCTTTTACTATTATTATATTATTATTTTTATTGTTTTTTTTGTTTGTGTTTTTTGTTGTTGTTTTTCTCCTCCCCAAGCCCCCCTCTCTGTTCTCTTGCAGGTTTCGTTGCTTTCTGCAATTGGTGTTTCCCACAGCTTTTCCCTGTTGTCCCCACCCTCCATCCCCCTTTCCCCCTTCTCTTGCAGGTGTTGTCCTTTCTCTGTGCTGTCTGTTTGTGCCCCCCCATCCCCGTGTCTGCCCCCCTGTCCGGCCCGGTGACAAATCAATACATAATTAAATAAATAATAAAACAGACAAAGGAGTATTTTAATACTCTCTTGTTAAAGTAAAATCTGTCTGGCACAATATGGTATCCAGGTCATTATACTCTATACCAGGCTGCTGGGCAGGACAGGTTTAAAAAAAAATAAAATAAAAAAAAAAAAGACTTCATTAGGTAGTGGTGACGTCAATTTGGGAGTGGGTCTCAGGGGAAGTCACCCCAAAGGTGTTAACTTTCTTTTGGGATACGTTGCGCGTATTTCCCTTTAATCTCTCTCTCCACAAAATCTTGGAAAAATACTTAGTTCTAAACATTCTGATAAAGACAATTAAAACAAGGCTAAACACTATGGAAAAAGGTTATAATGGTTATATAACACGTAACAAAGCTTAATTACCTGTCCTCAGTAAACTTGCTGGTTACTGGTTTTAACTCAAGAGACAATCTAGATGTAAGCGTGGCAGCAAAATTTCGTTTATGCAGTTACATGGTGGTAGGTAGGCCTACTTAGCGATCCTGTCAGTGTAAGCCGAGTTTTAAACACTTGCGTGTTATACCTTTCCTGTCCCCTTGGTGGCGCTCGGGTCACACGAGAAAAGAGTAGACATTCCACTTTAACTGAGAGGCTGGTGATACACACGAGCGTATCAATGGATATTTTAGTAGAACTGAACAGACAGTGATTACTGGGGAGTAACAGGGATGAATTAAGACAAAACAGAAAGAGGTTAGAAAACTAGTTCAAGATTACTTTCTTATGGGTCTGCTAGTCTTCAAACATCACTAAAGGATAACAACAGGGTCATTACTTACTAAACTCAGAGGCAAACGCCGCTGCTCACTTAGCAAGGTTATTATTTAAACAGAACAAACACAGTAATAATGGAACCTTGCTTGGTTCGAGAAACAGGGGTTGTTATGGTCTCTTTTCTTTGCACTCCTGGCTCATCACATCGGCGATCAGAGAACGAAATGCTGGTTTATGGCTCAGCCGTTCTGTGGAGAGAAAAGAGTCAGGATGAGGCCGGAGGTGACCTGCGGGAGGGAGAAGGGGTCAGATAGCCCCTTTTCCTGTCCTGTTGAATGTCTTCAGTGACACCTTTACGGCTAGAAAGGTTCACCAAGGCTCTTTGAATACACAATCCTTAAGCGATGCAGTCCCATTTATCTGCAGTGGTGCTCTCCATTTATCCTCTCTGACAGCATTTAGTTTGTTTTTTGGTTCATTTTCACAGTTGACCAACAATAAATGTGTCACACAGATCAGAATCCTCCATCATGCTTACAGAGTTTACTGTCTTCCCCTCGTTTCTTTTCGAGAAGACCTGCTTGGCAAAGTGGTTCTTGCCCTGGCAATTAGAGCATAGCTTACCAAAGGCAGGCCACTGTTTGGGTTTGAATGTTCGATCGTCTGTCTGCTGCGCAAGGCGTCTCCGTCCCTCACTTGAGACAACGCTTACAGCGGCGCCATCACCCACACTCACTGCGCTCGCCGCTAACTCGCTGAATGTCCTCACATTTGCGAGAGCTCACTTGCCTGGCAGATCTTGAGGGCCCCTTCCAGCGTCAGCTCCGTTTCCCGCAGTAGCCTTTCCTCCACACCAAACACGACCTGGTCTCGGAGCATGGAGTCCTTCAGTGTAGCAAAGTTGCATGACTGTGCTTTGAGCTTCAAGTCGGTCAGAAAGCTATCAAAGGGTTCACGCTGCTGCTTTGAGCACTTTATCAAGTTTGTCTTTGTCATCTTCACTGTCGTATACGAAGGTATTACACACTTCTATGGCTTGAGGGCCTGCTATTGTTAGCAGTAACGCTACCTTCCTTGCATCAGACTTCGTCTCTAGACCCATGATTTACAGCTGAAATTGCTGCTTGAAGGTGTGCCAATTGCTGTCGACATTCCCCGTTAATTTCAAAGTCTCCGGTGGCTTTAACGAATCCATGTCGCTGTTCACAGTGCACCTCGTTCTGGTTTTACTCCTGGTACCATGTTTTGTTCATTATTCTTCATGAAAATAAACTGTGACCACTCTTGTGCAAACTCTATGGGTTTCTTTATTCCTCGTGCTAGCCAGTCAACAACAACTTCCTCTGCTGCCTCCCTGTACCTAAAACATCAATCCCTTGTTCCCACAAACCACTACTGACACCGTTTGGTACAATGTGGAATTACACCTAATCATCACACCTGGGTCATCCAGGGCGTCGGCATGTCCCCCTTCATCATCGTCACTGATCAGGAGGGAGGCCCCTTTCTGCAGATTGGTTGTGAAGGCGGTGGAGCTCTGGTGACCCCTTTCCTCCGGTGCACAAGCATCGCATCAAAGTTTGTTTTTTTACCCACCAACAACTTCAGCTTCACCAAAAGGAACGTCAGTGTCACTGAGTTAAATTTCTTTTTGTAGCTTCTCTGTCAGACGAGCAGACGAGGAACGGGAAAAAGCCTCGGCAGTCCCGATGCACTCGGAGACGTCACGCTGGGAGCCCCATGACCGAAGCCGCCGCGCCGACTCAGCGACCGCCGGGCCCGAGCCACGGGGAGAGCGCATCCGGCCGTCTTCAGAGAAAAGAGCCGCACGGGACCTCAGCGCCCTCAGGGGCAGGGCCTCGCAATGGCCGCAAGCGGCCCCCTCGAGAGCTGCCTGGGCGTGCGGCATCCCCAGACAAGACGCACACAGGGCACGAGTGTCCCCAGCCGTGATGTTGACGCGGGCATGGGAAACACACTGCCTGAACTGCTCACCAGCCATCTCCTCTGCCAGACTTCCTTCCAGGTAAGAAATTTCCTCTCGTGGTTGCCGAATAGAATAAAGCTAATGCGTGCTTATATACGCCTCCAGTTACGCCGTCACACGCTACCGTTCTAGCAACGCCGATAGGATCAGAGTAGTTTCACTCATGGTTTCAGCCCTGCCACGCCCAGAGGCGTTCCCATAGTGTCGTCACCGACGCAGTTCGAGTTCCCTCGAAGGGGAACGAGGTAGTGCAAAGTCAACTTTATACCAAAAAACATTCAGTGCAAAAAAATTATCTAAAAACAATACAAATGTTTTTAATATTAAGATGTCTGTGAAGTTAAATAAAAATATTATGAACATAAAAATAAATCTATATTAATATAAGGGTAAAACTAAATAGAGCTAAAGTTTTATCCTGCACTATTTCCACAGAATAAATGCTCGGTACACAGCAAGCTGGCAAAAATTACAGCCAACACTTCAGAGCAAAACACGAGTGCTTCTTACTCAAACCCACACCAAAGTGTATCTTAATATCTTAATAACACAAAGATGAACAGATTAACTGGAGGGGGGTCACAGTGTCTGACTCAGTTGTGTTTCTCCATTCTGCCTCTCTGTCCTTCCTTTCAGACACATTCCCACCTCTCATTCCCATTTCTCCACCTGTCCACCAGGTGTCCTCAGATGTTTCCATCTGTCTCAGTCACCTGACTCCCACATCCAGCCACTCTCCCCCGCACTGAGCTAACATCTTTCCCACCATTCCCATCACCTGACCTCCCCGCCCACCTGCTCACCTGTTCCTCATTTCCCTCACAAAGCTCAGTGTATAGTTTTTTGTCGAATCTCCTCCTTAGGTACGCTGTAGCCTATGCATAGCCACGTGTGGAGAATATTTCTTAAGGGGCTTTGTTGATGTGACAGGGAAAAGTAAGACAGCTCTAGCTTAGAGTAATTTAGCTGACCCCATAAGTGTTTTCTGACATTCTAGCTTTAGGTGTTTCTCACATGTACTTAGACTGATTAGTTAGAGACAGTAGCTCAGGCGTCAGGCTGGCAGATATCAGTGTTCTCTGGGAATCTTACAAGAATATTTACAAGAACTCACTGGCTCCACAGATCAGAGAACCACTCATGGATAGTGGGAGATTCCAATATGACGAAGCATTGGAGTCTAAACATCAGATAGATCAGTTGTAGGTGAAAGAAGACCTAATAGAGAAACCTACAGGCACTGGGGGGAAGAAAGAAACATAAAAGGGACCACCAGATGTTCTCCTTCAGATTTGGTGTTGGCATTTGATGCTAACACCGGCTAACAAAGGCTTTACAATCTGTACAGCATACAGCACCGTCTATCCTTAAAGTCTTGATACAGATCAGAAATAATCTCTGTAAACAGATATCTGCATATGAATGTGTTGTGGTTTCTGTTTGTAGTCCGAATAGTATTGACCAATCAAATCTGAGCTGGTTTTGGTTGCATGCAGGTCAACAGTCCGTGTGGAGAGCAAATAAGGCAGAAACCATCGGCTATCATCTGATGAATATTTAACTTCAGATTAGCTTTTATATCAGATGACAGCTGATGGGCTCTCAGATTGCTTATCGGACTGTAAACAATGACAAGAGCACAGAAGAGGAAGTCTGGGCCTGGACATCTGCATCTTCTTCTGAAGAGTCAGAATCAAGTGAATTAATGAAGTGAATCCTCTGGGGACCAAGAATGTCTGAACAACAATGTCAATCCATCCATCCTTTGGTCCAGGTCCAGTCCATCTGGACCAGCAGACATCAGCATGCACAGAGCAACACTGCTAGTGTGTCTAAAAAGACAATAAAAGAAGAGACAGTCATGTTGATATGGACATTAGAGAAACACATCATGCAGCTGAAATATGATCCTGGTTCATCATCTGGACTCGTTCACCTCAGCTGACACATTCAGCAGCTGACAGGTTTTTGTATTACTCTGTTTCACTGTGGAAGCAAACAAACCCTACGGTATCTGTGGCTCTGGAACTAAACTGTATGTAACAGGTAAGAATAAACATTTATTTTCCTTCAGTTGTTTTATTGAACAAGTTAAAATGTGTTTTTAATGAGTTTCTGCTGTTTCAGGCTTCAAATATTAGTTCGTTCATAATTAGTAGAGTTCTTGCAGCCGTGCAGCTATTGTTACATAAAAAGGTTCATAATTGCTGAAAAGATGTTTGAATCTCACTGCACAACTGAAGTTATTCTTTATTTCTGCACCAGCAAAACTGATTCATATGGAAAAAGTAAGATATTGACAAAGTTGTAAATATACAGTATTTGATCCTCTCAGTGAGTCAGCGCAGTCTATTGTTACGACATTTTACTATAAATATGTTGTACAGGATAATTTATTCATTTTAAATAATAAAATTTACATCACGACAGTCAGATACTGATAATATTGCAATAACTATAATTTATGTATTTATATATGTGAAATAGAGTGATACAAAGTCGCTCACACAAATATATTTGCATTTTATACTTTTAATATAAATACAAATAGTTTGTGATGCTTTATAATTTAAATTATAAAACATGTTTTCAAAAGTATATGGTAGTAAAAATGATTAATTTTATAATTTTAACATCACATTATTACATTATATTAAAAAGTAATCAGTCAATAGTGAATCTTATTTAATATTATAAAGCTGTCTTTATTCACATTTAACATATTTAACAAAGACATTATTGATGTATTGATTAGTTGTTGAGTGGTTCAAGTTCAGAAATTATAAATAATGTACGTGACTTGACTTGAAATTATTTTATGTAAAGTAAATATGTAATTTGGTGTAATATGTATTTTTGTAAACAGTAGTTTTGATTCTTATGTAATGTTTGATATTATGTTACATTAAAATGTACTTAGATTACAGTATTGTTGTCAGATTTTTATCATGTATCTGAACATATATGTAAATTGTGTTTTATATAGAATTTTTCAAATTTTAAAACTTTATGAAATTACTGATGCAACAATTAGATTTTTTTGTTGTTAAAATAAAGTATATGATATATAATGTCTAAGTAAATGTAAAACTATAACTAATTTAATGTGAACGTAAAAAATACCTTTATTAAAATATGTTTATTAACCCTAATATATAAAACATTAAGTTTTTAAAGGAGATATTTCATAATTATATTATAAGAATCCAGCATATGTAGAACTGCTAAATAAGTAAAATTCTTTTCTTTCCTCATATAACATATTAATATTATTATTATTATACATGACATGTGTAATATGAAGGTGAATCCAGTCCATGTAGTGAACTGTGTGCTGTATTGATGAGGAGCTCAGTGATCAGAGTCCATGTAGTTTCCAGGATCAGACTGAATGCAGTGCTGGAAGCTGCTGTTGACTGTGTGAATGTGTGTCTGTGCTGCTTGTTGCTGCTGTCAAACTTCAGATGACCCGGTAGTGAAGCCCGTGGTGAGCGTGTACCCAGTAGCATCCAGAGCCCACCATGAGGGGAAGAGCTCCCTGCTGTGTGTGGCCTCAAACATGTTTCCTCCTCTGGTCCGCTTCTCCTGGAAAAGACGAAAGGAGAACAGTCTGACGGAGGAGCTGGCACCTGCTGAGGAGGAGCAGCTGGAGCTCAGAGAGTCGGGACGCACCGCCGCTATCAGAGTGATTGATCGGGACGCTCTCTATACGTATAAATACCGCTGCTACGTCCAGCACGAGGGGGGGGTAGTGGAGGCCCAAACAGAACAAGGTAATGAAGGCTTGGTGACTGTGTTCAGCAGAGAATCAGCTTCATGTGGAGACTCTGACAAAGAGAGCAGAGGAGCAGAGGACTGACATTTCTTTCTCCTTTTCTGTTTCAGAGGTTCCAGCGATCTGTTTTTTGAACCAGGTGAAACTGCTCTGTGTGCTGTACACAGTGCTGATAGTGAAGAGTCTGGTGTACGGCTGTGGACTCTCTCTGCTGAGGATCCTCAGAAACAAGGGACCGTCCACCAGCTGCACACATGCTGACTGACTGTTTTCTGCTCACTTTTTTTCATCTCACTGATCACTTTGATCAGAAGTCAGAAATGTAAGTTACGATGTGCACAGGTTAGATACAGTCATCCTTAAAATATAAAAACATATATACACATATATTTGCTGTTACTGAGTGTAAATTCTTTGGTGTTAATTTGACACTCTAGTTTATTTCCAAACTATTATTATTATTATTATTTGACTTTTAATTTTGACTTGTATAATATCAGAAACTTAAGCTGAATCATTAGCTGTCTGCTAGGTATTTTATTGTTTACGCTATCTTTCTGTTCTTGTGTCTCTTTTTAATACATTATGCAGAGTGTGGCAGGTTTGTCAAATTCTTTCAGTGTAACTTTCTTAATAAACTGAATATTTGACTCTGGTTGTTAGTAGCTCTTAATATACTTTCACAGTGCGCATAGTACAAATGTAAAGGAAGATATGAATATAAGCACACAGCGAAACAAGGACAACAAAGCTAAACAAGGATGAGCAAACATAAACATGTGTATAAGGCTGTTCTATACAAGTCAGCAGGTCTGGGTGTGCCACCAGGTTCAGTGCTGACTCCCTTTTATAATTGTGTCAGTGTGAATGTAAAACTCTATGCTGATGACACTGTTGTTCACACACATAAACAAACAGCAGAGCTGTTGTTAAACTACAACTGCTATAAAATGATCCCACAGTTGGGCTGAAGTCTGAATGCTGGCAACATGATGGCTGTGTTTATTTCTTCTAAACCAATAAAATGCTGCTTAAGTTTTTATTTTGCCTGCTGCCGTTTTGAAACGTTGTTTAGTTATTATTTCCATATGAACACTTTGCTGACTGATTGCCTGTTAGAATCAGTGTGAGGTAATAAAGTGGGATTAGAGCAGACTGCAGGTGGTTGAACATGAGCTGTTACTCTCACAGATTAATAACACAGATCAAAGCTGAGACAGTGAGTACTGAGCGCTGAAATCAAACTGAACTTCCTGGAATGATTATTTAACATGAGTTGAAGGTTGTAACTGTCATTGTGTTATTTATGTGAAAATGTGCAGCTAGCGGTGAGGAGGCTGCACAGCAGAAACCCACACAGCCCGTCTACTGCAGGGAAAGAAGTGATGATTGGCTGTCAACAGTTTTTTTATGAGTCCTAATAACCACTGAGAGCAGATTCATCTCTGCAGCTGTACACACTCATCAACTTTTTCTTGTTATCTGGAAGCCTTTTTTTCCACTGAGCCCTCCACCCACACGGAGTTGAACTGAGCCCAGAGACCAACAATGACGACCCACCTGGAGGTCACGTCCATGGACTTTATTTATGGGATTTTAGCCATCAAAGGTGAACTTTACAGTTTACACTTGGTGTTGATGAGAGCCAACAAGTCCTCATACAAACATGACTAGAGGCTACTTTGTCAGAGCCGGAAACAGAAACACATTTCATCACAATCCATCTAACCTTTGTTGAGGTATTTCAGGAAGGGCTTGGTAACAGGAGCTGAAGCAGCAGCAGCAGAAGCAGCAGTAGTAAAAGTAAAAGCAAAGCAGTGTGTTGTTGTAGCCACTAGAGAGCAGCAGTACTCCAAATACACTACATACTAATTATATTATGCTGTATACTAACTATCTTATACTACATATTACTTCTATCATACTACATACTCATTCTATTAGACTACATTCTAATTATATTATACTACATACTTATTCTGTTATACCACATACTAATTATAATATATGCTAATTATCTTTTACGACATTTTAGTTATATTATACTACATACCAATTCTGTTATACTACATATATATATATTGTACTACAAACTAGTTATATTATACCACATACTAATCTTTTACTGCATATTACGATATTACTAAGATCTATTTTAGTACTTACTTCTTCCATTACACTAATTATACTTACCATATTATACTACATACTATTTCTATAATACTATATACTACTTCTATCTTACTACATATTAATTCTATTTTGCTACGTGCTAATTATATTACATGCTAATTACATTACACTACATACTACTTTAATTATCCTACTTACTACTTGTCTTACACTACATACCAATTCTGCTGCTACAAAGTTCCTGCTCGACACCCATTTTTACAATTATTATTGATAGGTCTATTATTATTATTATTATTATTATTATTATTATTATTATTATTAAGTTTATTAACATTACTATAATTAACAGTACCATTATTTATTTTCAGTCTGTACCACTACTACCTTTACTGTCTTTACTGTATTTCTGTGTGGATATTGTGTTGGCTGCTAATTAATACTAATTCTATTATACTTTTTATTTCTATTACACTAAATGATAGTTCTATTGTATTTCATAATAATTATTTTATGCTACAAAAATTTATATGTATTTTCAATTGAATTTAGTATTTCTTCTTATACTCATGCAGTATATTCATGTCATGGAGTATTACATACTGTAGAATTACCTCTTGTCTTGTGATTGAGTATTACATTGTAGTAGCTGTAAGTAAGCCATTGCACTGTGGTATTTTTACTTGAAATAGAGAATACATTGTAGCATTTCTTCATTTACTAATATATTACACAGCAGTAAGATTTCGAATGTGGTACTTTTACTTATAATGAAGTATTACAATGTAGTATTACTGCTTTTACTCTAGTGCGATTTTGAACATACAACACAAAAACCCTGGCCCACAGCAAAACTCACGCAGCTTCGTCAGACCAAAGAGGAGACCTTCAGAAGTGGGAATAAGGTCCTGTAAATCCAGGCCAGGAACACTCTGACTAAAGAGCCAAGCTGGAAAGCTAGAAAACAGCTTCACGGCCAGCGACCCTGTGTCCGTGTGGAGAAGCCTGCAGGAGACCATCCCCCAACACTGCTGGTACTCAACAACTGGCAGACAAGCTGAATGGATTTTACTGTAGGTTTGAAAAGCCCAGTCACACCTCTCCCCCGCCCCAACATCATCTTCAAACAGTCACCTTCCCCCACTGCCACGCTCTCACCCCCCCCCCTCTGACCCCTCACCTGCACTCATGATCTGTGAAGAGGATGTGAGCCACCTCTTTCAAAGGCAGAATATCAGGAAGGCTCCTGGCCCTGGCGGTGTTTCACCATCTTGCCTGAATATCTGTACAGACCAGCTGACCCCTGGGAGCTGTGTGAAGTTCCCTCCTGCTTCAAACGCTCCACAATCATCCCAGTCCCCAAAAAACCCTTTATCTCTGGATTAAATGAGTACAGTGAAAGACTAGTGTTGGCCCACCTGAAGGACATTACAGGCCCCTTGCTGGACCCCCTGCAGTTTGCCTACAGGGCTAACATGTCAGTGGATGATGCAGTCAACTTGGGACTGCATTACATCCTGCAACACCTCAACTCTCCAGGGACATATGCTAGGATCCTGTTTGTGGACTTCAGTTCGGCGTTCAACACCATCATCCGGACATCCTCAGCACCAAACTCACCCAGCTCACTGTGCCAGCCTCCACCTGCCAGTGGATCACAGACTTCCTGACTGACATGAGTCAGCAGGTGAGGCTGGGAAACATCACATCCAGTCTCCGGACTATCAGCACTGGCGCCCCCCAGGGGTGTGTGCTCTCCCACTGCTCTTCTCCCTCTACACCAACGACTGCACCTCAGGAGACCCATCTGTCAAACTCTTGAAATTCGCTGACGACACAACGGTCATCGGCCTACAGACGGGAGGTTGATCAGCTGGCTCTCTGGTGCGATCAGAACAACCTGGAGCTTAACACGCTCAAAACTAAGGAGATGATCGTGGACTTCAGGAGGAGCCCCGCCATTCTGCCCCCATCACCATACTCAACAGCCCTGTGTCTGCTGTGGAATCCTTTAGGTTTCTGAGATCCACTACATACCAGGACCTGAAGTGGGAGCCCAACACTGACACCATCATCAAGAAGGCCCAGCAGAGGATGTACTTCCAGCACCAGCTCAGGAAGCTCAACCTGCCTAAGGAGCTGCTGATCCACTTCTACACAGCCATCATCTAGTCTGTCCTCTGCACCTCTATCACTGTCTGGTTTGGATCTGCCACCAAAAAGGACAGGAGCAGACTACAACGGACAGTCAGGACTGCAGAAAAGATCGGTGCCAACCTGCCCTCCATTCAGAACTTATACATTTCCAGAGTCAGGAAATGGGCAGGAAACATTACTGCAGATCCATCTCACCGCGGACACAACCTGTTCCAATTTCTCACCTCTGGTAGGCGCTATAGAGCACTTTACTCCCAAACCAACAGACTCAGGAACAGTTTCTTCCCACAAGCCATCACTTTAATGAACAGCTCACTCTGACTCACAGTGTGAGGAACGATTCCTGTGCAACCACCTACCTCAACATCATAACACTTGCACAAAATACTTACTTATTTATATCAGTATCTTTGCACTATGCTCCATCACACTGTGTACATGTATGCATGTAAGTGTACCTGCATATCACATCCACCTACGACATGTACATAATAATGATATTAATAATTTTACTCTTGCATCCTTTGCACTGTGCTCACTGCACATATTTGTCAATATCTCTCTATTATTTTTGTTTCAGTTTATAGTGTGTATATTTGTGTTCTCCATACTGTAGCCTGTGTCTGACTTTATTATTGTGTTATTGTATTATCATTGTATGAGTAGGCACATCGTGAGCAAAGTACAATCCAAAGTCAAATTCCTCAAATGTGTACACACACCTGGCGAATAAAACGGATTCTGATTCTGATTCTGATCCAGAGTAACTATATTTTAGATAATGCGTCTCGGACGTGTTTGGGCCCCAGTACAATAACTTCAGTTTTATCTGAATTTAACATTATGAACTGTTAGAAGAATCTTTACCAAAGAACGACAGAGTCACTGGAGTCACAATCAGTGATCTTTTATTTGCAAGGAGTCAATACATGCACTACAATGAATACAGAATAAACTAACGAGAAGGGCTCGACACTGTTTTTAAACATTTGGTTACACCCATTGTTTTCCATGTCAGACAAGGTAGCTGACTCTTTATCTAGGTCACATGATCACACGGATGTAGACAGGAGCTGTCACTTACATTACGCCATGTCTCCCTCCCGTAGGCGTTTCCAGCCTCTCTCTATGTTTCATAAGTTCACTGAGATTATTAAATGCTTCTTTGTTTAGACAGGCTTGCAGAAGTTTAAAATACTTACATTACATTTAGCTGACGCTAAAGCGACTTACAATTGCTTTATATGTCAGAGGTCGCACGCCTCTGGAGCAACGAGGGGTTAAGTGTCTTGCTCAGGGACACATTGGTGGATGGGTCACCCCATCACCACCCCACCACTTAAGCATAGCACGTTTTTCTAGCAA